GCAACCCAGGCAACGGATTAGTTCTGTGAAACAAAGCAAAACTGCTGCTGCGTTCCATTCATGACGTATTGACACAAATTTCAAATGATTTTCAATGACTTTAGCTGTTGCGGCGCAGACACGGTGTTACTCACCTATCGAGAAGAAACAAAACAACCTCAGCGTCCGATCGCAGGCCTTCCACTCCTTGAGTTCTCTCCAACGCTGGAAAGCTGATCCGATATTTACACTGGTCCTACTTCTTGCCTTAAACCTTCTTTTGTTCCGCAGACGTTTTCCTCTTTTGTTTTTTATCCGCCATCTCTATCTTTCTGTTGCTCTCTTAATGTCCGTCCCGTGCACTGAACGCGCTCTCCTCCACATCCTGAGTAGTTACGCCCCTTACTGCTGATTGGCTACAAGTTTGTTTTGCTATTCGGCCCGAATCGGTTTTCTAAAGTGTTTTTGAAAAATCGCTAACCCCACCTTTAATGTAGCCCACTACCAGGATGCCTTCATAACATCCGCAGCTGCCGGTAAGTGCAGTTCTCAGGCGGAGCGGTGTCTTATATTATTAAATTATTATTATTATACAAGAACTGCGTGAAGAGAGCATGCACAGCTGTTGTTTATATTGCTGTGTGTAGCCTGTGGAAGTATGGTTAGCTGCAGCAAGGGGCTATAATATTTTTGTTCAATATTTTCCTAATGACAATTTTATGATCGGTTTATAAAGGCTACTACGAGCACCTTTTCCCCATTTTTATCACAGAATAAGGCAGGAAATGTATAGTTTCTATAGGCTACTAAATAATATGTCAATCAGTACTGCATTATTCATAAAGTTTATTTATTACCTGGAGATAAGTTGAAAAACACACATAAACCATATATTTTGGCAATCGTGTGTTTATTGTCTTCACGTTTCTTTCTGCTTTTTATTCAGCTCTGCTACAGCGATAGCCGGATTTTTGTCCATATTAGGGTTTCCTTCTATGAGTCTGTTTTGGACTTTGGCATGAGAGTGTTGAGCGCTCCAGATATTCGCTTCTCCTCATTTTGGATACTAATAAAACGCCAGTTCATTTTTTGTTTCGACATGTGGCCAAGTATGGTGACCCATACTCAGAATTAGTGCTCTGCATTTACCCATCCAAAGTGCACACACACAGCAGTGAACACACACAAACCGTGAACACACACCCGGAGCAGTGGGCAGCCATTTATGCTGCGGCGCCCGGGGAGCAGTTGGGGGTTCGGTGCCTTGCTCAAAGGCACCTTGTCGTGGTATTGAAGGTGGGAGAGAGCACTGTACATTCCCCCCCCCCCCCTACAATCCCTGCCGGTACGAGACTCGAACCCACAACCTTTGGGTTATGAGTCCGACTCTCTAACCATTAGGCCACGACTTCCCCATGCATAGACTATCGATACTGTGTCTTTGAATTTAAATCTAGAAACCTCTACGTGAACACACCTGCCCAAATAAATTGCGGGGGACGAAATTACATTTCTTTAAAATTAAATATTAAAAATGCAGCTAACGTTCTACACACAGCAATATAAACAAAGGTGCCTGTTCTCTTTCGTTCTTGCTGTTTGATTGGTTAAAAGTTTAAAGGGCATCGAGGAGTCTTGTCTTTGTTATCTGACTAAAAAACTATTACTTTGAACTTTTTTTATTACAGTATTTATTTTAAAAACGTAGAGTGCCTTAAAAATAATGATCACAACACTGATAAAACAGGCTTATACTGATTTTCCCATCCTCCGATTTATAGGCTACTTAATCCTGTTTTTATCATCACTATAATTTAAAAAATGAATAAATTCAAAACAGGATTATAATATAATTCTATTTTAAATAAGACAGAAATATTTTTTCAACAACAACAGTAGTGTTTACAACAGTAAAACCACCATACCCTGTAAACTCAATAGTAATAATAGGCCTAATTTAATTCAGTTTCTATTTTCAGAGTGATTAAGAGGTGCAAAGAAATTTTTATTTAACTTTTAAACTTAAAATGGTCTTTTCTGTTCTGTGTTTCTTTTTCAAAACTGCTTCACGGCACTTGCTGCTATCAGTACAGAAGCATCCGTCTCGATACATGTCTCAGCAAGGAGCACAGCCCTATTAAAAGCCGTGCTCCATGTGCCCCTTTTATACTTTGAGCACCTGCCCCTCCAAAGGTCTCTGCATGGCCCTGCAGTGCGCTATTCAATCCGCAGACCGCGGCGCCGCAGCACGAGCAGACTCAAACAGAAACAGAGGACACAAGGTGTGTGTTCTTTGTATTTATGACAAATTTATCTTTGTCATAAATACAGTTTACAAAAGGTCACAAGGGAGCAATCAGTTTCCCATCTACTGTAAAGTTTTCGCTGTCCCCCCGCATCACACCACAGCTGTTTCCTCCAGCGAAGATCTAGCCCTTAACACATATGAACGCATACTTTATAAAACGATAATGTTGCTATTTTCATTTGAAAATTTTATATTTAATATAAAACATATTACAGCGCATGTGGCATACCATACAGTAATACACAGAACTGATTAAAAACAGTGACAGACAGCACTCAGTCAATTCACTCATTTTAACTAAATATCAGAGTGATTGACAGAGATACAGTAGAAACATTATGTGTGGTTTTGTATTAAATATTGTTTTGTATTAAATAATGTCCCAAATCGTGAAATACATTTATTAGCCTTAGAGTAAGGGAAGCACAACTCGGGAAATGAGAGCATCCGAGGAGCATGTGAATGCTATGTATATTTATTTTAAATATTTTTAATGTTATCCATCGTTTTTTTTTTTGTGGATCTTTTTTTAAAAGTATCGGTTCAGGCACCGTTTAGGCACCAGTACCGTTTTAAAAGTATCGATTTGGCACCGGTATCGTAAAAAACCCAATCGATACCCAACCCTAAAGAGATGAGTGTTGTACCTGAACACATGAGGCCAGCAATCGTGGTTATGGCTGCCCATTTCCAGCCCCACATTGAGTATAGCGTCCATGCAGAGCACATGGGCCGTGTGCAGCCTCACGCCCTGACAGCGGCCCATCTGTTCGAGTTTCTGTTCAACACGCTGCTTAACTATAACACAGACACATGCAAGTTAACCTAAGGCAATTGAATATAAGTTCAGTAGGGTTTGAAATGATGATCTGAGGTTAGTAAGTTTACCTAACTGTTTTAAAACTGTTTAACTCCCGTTCATCTTTTTTTTGTTAAAGTAAAGTAATATGTTGGGCATGTGATAGTCACATTATAAAACTAATGATATTATGAAAACTTGTAAGGAACTTGAAAGGAAGTAATACAAATTTGTTTAGATCAAAATGATCAAAATGTTCTCTTTCCTTTCCCAAAAATGCTTTTGTGTGTGCTCATGTACTCTGTTCAACAGCAGCTCTATGCAGGTATGAATACTGGCATTGAAATTTGTTCTGCTGCCAACATTTACAGCATGTAACATATGCTGCATGGTATCTGTCAGAGCACAGTAATGGACCCAGTACTAGTATATCAGTCCCCACACATGTCTCTGAATACAGTGATGCAAAGTGAAATATGTCACACATATGTTATGAAATGTGTATAAAAACCTTGAGCAATGGCATCTCCAGTCTCTCCCAATTCCTTCTCCTCTTTCTCCTCCTGAACACATGATGCTGCTGCCATCTGGGCAAGTGCTGAGGCACAGTTGGCCGCCACACCTAAGTGACAGAAAATTAAGGCCCAACGGACATACCATTTCCATTAGTGTCCCATCTTCCACTCTGATGGACCGTATGCAAAAGATTAATGTGTGAGGGAACAGTAGAAGTGAGCTGAAATGGAGATGAAAAGGCTGAAATTAATGACATGTGATGTTACCCAGAGCACAGCTGAGTGCCGCCGCCTTGCGTAGACCATCCAGGCTGAGGCAGATGGTGTCTCTCTCCCTCTGAGTCTGCTCTTTAACTCCCTCTGCTCCAAGAATAAAGGCGAGACCTCTAGAGCTTCCCGCCATGCGCCCTGTGAGTGGAGTGGACAGCGTGTCGATCAGGTTCTTCCAGCAGCCAGTCAGGATATAGCGGGCAAATACCACACCTGTCAGCAATGAGATCACAATGAGACAAAGACAGCTTGACCCTAAGTTGTCAATGTTTGTGATTAGACAACAGGTTCCCCAAAAATTCAGATTCTCACAATCTATTCAAGATATTTCCCTCAGTCCCCTTCATGGTCAGAGAACAACATGCAAGATAGCAATAAGTCAAGCTACAAGTACAGATATTCAACAGAGACTACCTTGCTATCCATCACTGAAGATTATGCATACTCATTCTACTGGATTTTTAGTGTTGCATTATACACAGTAAATCACCAAATCCCCTTGTCTTCCCTCTCCAAACTGGATATCCAAAAATTGCACTGGTTTGAGGCCTCACAAGTAGATCCTCCAGGGTATTTTATTAGTGTCACATCAACTAACCTCAGAGTACCTCAGGGTTCGGTGCTTGGCCCCCTCTTCTTTATGAAATACACAACATCACTAGGCAAATGGATTTTCCTACCACTGCTACCCTGACAATATACAGCTCTTCTTGTCATTCCAGAAAGAGGTTCCCATAGTGTCTGCATGGATTTCAGTTTGCCTGGTAGACATCTCTGCTTGTATGGAAGAATACCACCTCCAACTCAACCTAGCATGTACAGAATTTCTTGTCTTCTTGTAAGCCACTTCAGTAAGCTTGCACTCTGCAAGTAAACAGTGCATTATAGTGCCATCCCAAAGAGGCACAAAATTACTTTTCCTGACTTTTACCTTAACTGTTCCCTGCTGGTGGAATGACCTACCCAACTCAATCCATGCGGTCTTTAGCCAGTGTCTTTAGACATCTTCAAGAAACAGCTAAAGACACATCTATCTATTTTTTTTCTATTTTAACTACTTTTCTTTTTATTTATAAAAACAAAACTACCCTGTAACACTAGTTCTCTCTATTCTATTTCTATTCTATTTTTTATGCTTTTTATTATATATATATATATATATATATATATACACAAACACACAAATACACACACACACATATATATATATATATATATATTTTTTTTTTCATGTAGTCCCTCCACTGACATAAATTTCAGGTCACAACTACATTTGTTTTGAGAGCTGACAAAGAAACCTCCATAACCTCTTTGTGAATATGTGTGTGTGTGTGGACAAGCAGAGTTTATTGCACTGTACCTGCCACCATGTCACTGCCGTTCTTGTCACAGGTAAAGGGTGACTGTGTAGAGGCCTTTCTGATCAGCTGACCACCGATAGCACTGCTGCCCAGTCCATCAATATCTGACAGAACAAAAGATGGGAAAGGAAGAAATACATATTTTTTTAGTAGTAAATAATCATTTAGTCATTGTATTTATCTAAAGGCACTCTTCTTACAGAGTCAGTGGCCCTGGGGCAACTTGAGGTTATTAAGGTTATAAATTTAACTATATGAAATTCTTGGAAAATCTTTACCATGGCTAGTTGATTTTGAGATACAGTATGTGGCTTTGTGTTTGCTCATTTCATGTTATATGTGATCAGCAGATCAATTAAATCAGCAGAGAGAGCTTGCTTCAACCGTAATGTTATGAAGCTACGTGAATACTTTTTGTGCGCAAAGTAAACAAAAATAACGACTTTATTCAACAATTTCTTCTTTTCCGCGTCAGTCTCCTGTGTGTGCATTCATCTGCTTGTAAACAAGGCGCAGCGCATGCGGGTTCTACGTCAGAACATCATACGACTCCTGCGTCAGCAGCACCAAACGCATGCACCGTGTTACTCTCATGAATGCCGGTGGAGACTGACGCGGATATCGTCATATCGTCCTATCGTCAGCCTGTGAGATCACCGATACATGATATTATTGTGCTAATTTCTTTAATTATTTATTTACCTAGTTGCACAACCCTACATTTGAGACCTTTATGGTTGATTTCACACAAAGGAGTATTACCTGTGAACATGGTGATGAGAGGTAAGGACTGCTCCTCAGCGGAGCCCCAGTACCCCGCCTCTCCCAGCAGGTTTCTGTCCAACACCTGGTTGTAGAGCTCCTCGATCCAGGCCTGAGATAGAACCACCAGAATACCACTGCTCTGGATCTGCCGCACAAACTCTTTCTGCACACAGAGACGCAGCTCATTCAACACCACCATCAGATTGTGCGGGCAGAGACTGGGTCAGAAATTAACCTGGGCTCAGGACAAAAACACCCCATATATTTAACATTTATGGTAAAATAATGCAGGAATACCAAAGACACCAGAGCACATGTGGGTTTCCTGTGGTAGTAGTCACAGCAGCACAGTTTGAGGTTGAGCAGTAGAGCATAATAGGAAACCAGGTACAATCCATCTGCATTCATCAGAGCCTGACAACTCAGGTTTTTACTGCCCTCGAAACCTGGAGAATGAACCCCACCTATAAGACCACAGAATAACATCACATTACCTTCAACTGCACATATACAAACGTCTTAACAGTAAACTTAAAGTGTCTCTAAAATTTGAAAGTCTGATCTGATGCATGTGGAAAACAGTATTTAGTTTCTGTATTTAGAGCATGTGAACAAGTTAATAGTATATGACCATGAATCATTAGTAGTTCCAAATTGATGACTTTCATTTATCTTCGAGCATACAAATACAGAGTTCTGGCATGAAATTCTAGATGGCACAGTACCATAGGTCTAACTTGATCTGACCTAATGACATCATTATCACATGGCACAGCTGATAGGTTCTCTCCTCTATCGGTAGCCAATGAGCTCGCTGCTCAACATTCAAATATATGACTATTGCTTGCCGTAGCAGCTGCAGCTTGCTTCAGAAACCCTCCACCTTCCCCAGCTCCACCTGTATTGATCTGCTACGAGGTGATCATGTATGCTATATGGAGGTTATTTCATGTGCTATATTTGCAGCAGCAATATTTCTTACAGTAGCAAGTCTCGGTACTTGCTCTGCCGCAGCAGCAGCAGCGTAGCAGATCTATTCCGCCAAGACCAAATACATTAACATTGTCATGTACATTACAATGCCAATCCCTCCGAGAGTTGTAATGACAGAAATAAAGATATTTTTATGAAATCTGAGAGATTTCTGTACCTCCACTGAAAGTACATTCCACCAAGTACATTCAAGTTCAGAAACAGATTTTCCATTTACCCATCTTGAAGCACTCTATGTATATCCGTTGATCAATGAATACATTGTATGTGAATAAAACCTTTATATGATGAACAGATTTCATCTAGGCTTTTAGATGAAATCTCTTCATCATATAAAGCAAATATGTCTCTTCAGATTACTAAACCGATTCATTCTCTTTTTGAAGCTGAAGTTTTGGTGGAATGGACTTTCAGTGGCGGGACAGAAATCTCTTATGTTTCATTAAAAATATCTTCTTTTGTGTTCTGAAGATGATCAAAAGTCTTATGGGTTTGGAATATGACGGTGAGTAAATGATGACAGAATTTTTCATTTTTGGGTGAATTACAGGGGGGATTTCACCAAACAGTTACTCCATTTTAGTAACTCCATTATCATTTAAAAAAATGTTTCAACAAATTTGTCTATATCTAATTTTCTGTAATCAAATTCTTTTTTAGCCTACTGTATAACAGGGGTGTTTAAACCTGCTCTTGGAGGGCAAACGTTTTCCAACTTGCCCCAACACACCTTCCTGGATGTTTCTAGTCAGCCTGAACATCTTGACTTGCTGGACCAGGTGTGTTTAATTGGGACTAGAGATAAACTCTGCAAGATAGTCCAAACAGTCCTCCAGGAACAGGACTATCAGTTCATTCTTGTATACAACATCGGTCAAGTTACCTGCTTGCAGTCCTGAACAGAAGCTGGATGAGAAGTTCTGCAGGGACACGTCTACATCCGTGGTGCTGTGCAGTCCCAGCAGGCGTGGCAGCAGCGCAGCTAGAGACTGCACAAAGAGCCGGGCGCTCTGTTGGTCCGCTTCCTGGTTCTTCAGCAGTTTTAGGGACAGAGCAGCCGTCCGTAGCGTACGGTGACCGGGACATTCCCGTGGCATCTGCTCCTCGTCAGCGAGAGAACAGTTGTCAGAGCCCATATCGGACACGTCAGAGCGTCCCGAGTCCTTTTCTGCAGCCATGGAGTACTGGTCGCACGAATCGAACTCTGTTCGGGACAGCTCCTGCTCGTCCGCACTGAAGTTGCTTTCACTGTAGCGTGAGCCATGTGAGCGTGTCCAAGACTCCACAGACAGGAAGTTGGTGATGTCAGGGTAGACCAGGCCATGGCTGCGCTGCACTACATCAGGAGGCGCCATACTGGACGGGGCTTCTGGGGCGCCACTCTCTCGTACACATTCTGGTAGATCCGGGTGAGCTCTCGTCGCGGCTCCACAGGTAGAAGGTGACGGCAGGCGCGGTTTCTCCCCACAGTCCTCTGGAGTGGTCTGACCCAAGTCCCCCTCCAATGTGGTCTGTCCTGTTTCGGTGGTGACTCTGATGCTGATGTCAGGGCTGCGTTCAGTGATGCTGGTCTCCCAGGCAGCATTCTCAGAAGAAAGCACACGCCGCTGCCAGCGGAAGTCAGCTTCGTTGAGGTCTACAGACTCACGCATAGACTCCACCCCTTCCTTGAGCTCATCCAATCGCCGCAGCAGCATGCGGGACTGGTCTTGCTGCAGGCCCCGCCCCTGACTGAGCTCATCTAAAGCACCCAACAGGGCACTAGCACAGGAGACAGAAGAGAAGCAGGCCTCAATCCCGCCCTTCATGCACGCTTCTGTTATGCCATCCATTACCCTGAGAAAATAGGAAAGATGCTGATACTGATTGGTCACATTTGCTTATCAAGCAACAGTGCCCGCAGACTTAAGGCATCCTTTTAAGGCTAATCCACACTGTAGTGTCATATGCCAATAAACATTATTCGTCAGTATTTTTCAGATCAGTGTGTTACCCCTGTCACGGTCAGTGCTACCTTTTGGGTTTGTCGGGTCATGGAATGTCTAAAAAGTAAAAAACTGTAATCTGGTGTCTGTGTTGGTCGTCATATGTTTGTGTAGTGTGAATTAGCCTTTAAATGTCTGAATGTCATTGAATAAGAAACAAAATATCTTACAGTTTGAGAAGATCAAGATGTGACTTCCTTTTTGAGAAAGACCGCTTTCTTGTCTCAGGCTCAATGACGCATGGACCGGCCAGGTCAAACAAGCGCTGGGGGCTTCCCACAATCTCGGGGGAAGCGAGGGGAATAACAACATGTTTATTAGTACAGAAAAGACTGAGTACTCAAGGGGGCAGTGATGTTTTTTCATGTCTGTGGCATAAAATAAAAAGCTTTTAAAATGCAGCTGTGCATGAAATTGAGTTTGCATAGCCAGAAGCGTTTGAAATAATGTATATGCAGGGGTGGGAAATAATGCAATACATGTGACTTACCTACGTATTTAAAATACAAAATATGAGTAAATGTATTACATTACAGTTACATTTTAATTGTGTGTTAATTAAATTAGTTATATCCGAAAAGTACTTTAGATTACCAAAGTGATTACTTTGAAGTTTATTTTTTTTTTAATTCATTTATATTCATTTATTTCATTTAAACATGAATGTAAACTGTAATCGGCAATTATAGGGATAGTTCACCCAAAAATGAAAATTTGATGTTTATCTGCTTACCCCCAGGGCATCCAAGATGTAGGTGACTTTGTTTCTTCAGTAGAACACAAACAAAGATGTTTAACACAAACCGTTGCAGTCTGTCAGTCTTATAATGGAGGTGAATGGGAATCACGGCTTTGTGATTGTGATTGTAAAAAAAAAATACACAAACTAAACCAAATGAATCCCTGCAGCTCGTGACGATACATTGATGTGTAAAGACACAAAATGACTCTTTCTGTGCAAGAAACTGAACAGTATTTATATCGTTTTTTACCTCTGATTCACACAATGTCCGAACTGTTTGAACTCTCCTGAGCAGTGGCACGTCCTCTTGAGCGCATTCTCAACAGCAGGCGCGTGGACCATTGACACTCTATCTACAATCTCAATTAGGAGTGTCAATGGTCCACTTGAGAGATAGGTGGCGGTAATGCACTTATAAGTCTGCGCTTATAGGTCAAGCGATTAGTCAACAGAAGAGACAGACGGCTGCACGTGAGTGTCCTGCCTAATACTTGGTTATAGATCTGCTGTTGGAATTATTACTTGCTGCTAAGAAGGAATATTTCGTTTTCTGCCTATTTCTACGTTATATTTTTGTTTGCGTTTGTATTTTTGATTGCACTTTCTGGTAATTATAATAACTGCCCTCGGCTAAGAAGGAGCGCGTGTAATTTAATTGCTCCCTTCCTGCGTTGAAGTGCGAACTGTAGTTTCGATTGGAGGAATTGCCCTGCTATAGACTATTGTTTGGATAAAAGCGTCTGCTAAATGACTAAATGTAAATGTGTAAATGTAAGTCTGCGATTCGCCATAAAACAAGAAGAAGAAGACGCCTCACGCGCCTGCGGTTGAGAACGCGCTCAGGAGGACGTGCCTCCGCTCATGGGGGGGTTCGAACAGTTCGGACATTGCGTGGATCAGAGGTAAAAAAATATATAAATACTGTTCAGTTTCTTGCGCAGACCGATCTTTTAGTGTCTTTACACATCAATGTATCGTCACGAGCCGCAGGGTTTAATTTGGTTTTGTTTGTGTATTGTTTGTTTTTTTACTCTCAAAGCCGTGATTCCCATTCACCTCCATTACAAGACTGACAGACTGCAACGGTTTGTGTTAAAAATCTTATTTTGTGTTCTACTGAAGAAACAAAGTCACCTACATCTTGGATGCCCTGGGGGTAAGCAGATAAACATCAAATTTTCATTTTTGGGTGAACTATCCCTTTAATGCAAACAGCAATTGTTGATTCTCTGACACTCTGTAAAAGCATCATAAGCTACGGTTAAGTTAATAAGTTTCATATCCCTTGCAGAATATGCAACATTTTAATAAATTTAACAAAATAAGAGGATCATAAAAATTTCATGTTATTTTTATTCAGTACTGTCCTTAATAAGCTATTTCACATAACATATGTAGATGCAAAGATTAACCTTACAAGTACTTGCACTTTTGCACTTCTTTGCACATATTTTTATGACCTCTGAGCAATAAATGGAATAAGCCTTTTGAGCTGTATTTGGACGAGTGCGGATCCCTTTCATCTTTGCATCTTTGTATTTTTTTGATCTACGCACCTTATGTTTTTTGCCTACTGGATTGTTGGAAGAGTGTTTGGCGCTACGACCTTTTTTGTAGAACATAACATATGTATACATACAGTATCTCACAGAAGTGAGTACACCCCTCACATTTTTGTAAATATTTTATTATATCTTTTCATGTGACAACACTGAAGAAATGACACTTTGCTACAATGTAAAGTAGTGTGTGTACAGCTTGTATAACAGTGTAAATTTGCTGTCCCTTCAAAATAACTCAACACACAGCCATTAATGTCTAAACCGCTGGCCACAAAAGTGAGTACACCCCTAAGTGAAAATGTCCAAATTGGGCCCAATTAGCCATTTTCTCTCCCCGGTGTCATGTAACTCATTCGTTTTACAAGGTCACAAGATTGCTTAACTATCTGTTTTTTTTTAATGATAGTTGTAACGAGTCCCTTGTATGTCCTGAGCAGTTAAACTGCCCATTGTTCTTGGGCAGTTTAAAGACTTTTTTAAGACTATATTTTTACTTGTTTAATAATTACAAAGTACAATTGATCTTGTTCATCCAAAAAAAAAAAAGGTTTAGATCAAAAAGTTCACATACCCCTGCTCTTAAAGCATCAGTATTTTTTTAAGAGTGCCTGCATTTTTTCATTCAAGAAATATTGTGGAAAACTGATGTTGTTAAAAATAGCATGTAATAAACCAAGCCCTATGTTTTGTGGATTTCTTTTTTTTCTGGAGGACCGTTTGCGTTACATGCCTTATTAGTATTCCAAAGTAGGGCTGTACGATATGGACAAAAAAACCTATCGCGATTTCTTTGATCAATTTTGCGATTTCGATTTTAATCACGATTTTGACACACACAGACATGCTTTACAGTCATTAATGCATTCAGTGTGAATTTTAAATATATTTCCAAAAGAAAACCAATTAGAGCTTTATCAAAAAGCTGTAACATGTCTCTAGAACAGACATATGGCAAAATAATCACTAAGTAAAAGTGTAACAAAATGTCTCTAGAATAGACATATATGGCAGAAGAAAAAAAAAAACAGTGTCCAGGGATTTTTTTTTGCCATGCATTGGTCATAGAGCTATTTGTGGCATTGCCTCAGATGTTGAACTAGATTTGTTGCGCCAAGTTCACACGTACTCCGTCTGCAGTGCGTATACAGCCTATGTGTATGCGGTGCAGAAGCAGCACGGACTCATTTTGCTTTCGCCAAGGATGCGTTTGCAGTTTCTTGATCCGCGGCTGTTTACCACAAACACAACCTTTATCCATTATTTTGATTTCAAATCCAAATGTTGTTTCTGAAAATGCTTTTTCAGCATTGTGATTCTCTTTTATCACAGTACAGTAATACAATCTTTCATAGACATATTCACGTTTAAACTCAATAAATATAACTTTGTTTAACTACCACCACGAGTGCCATCTATTATTTGCCTTGTTTATCTAAAAGTGCACTTTTCCTTGTTTTAAATCTAAAAAAAAGCTATGTGTTGACTGTGAAACAGTAGACTTTAATTATATGCATTTATGGTGTAATTACTAAATTTCCGTGTCAATCCATGTTAATTTTTACGCGAATAATGCATTGTCAATTTAATTCAGCGCGTGCAGCACAGCAGAAATAGACTCCGTACGGAAACGATCTCAGCATGACTGCTGCAGACGCACCGCTCCTGGAGTGCACTGCCGGACTGCAATCGCATGCAGTGTGAACGCTCTGATCCGTTAACATGGCGCGCGGAAAAAAATATGCACCACAGTGTGTGAACCTGACGTTACGTTTGTATGCCCGCCCGGTCTGTTCTGTTCTCGTGCTCCATTTAGGCGCGCTGCATTCTGATTGGTTCGGATAGCATACTGCGGGAGGTCGGGGCCGCGGAAAATCGTGCTATAAAGCGATTTAGAAATCACGCATGCTCAAATCGCGATTTTATGACGATTTCGATTAATCGCACAGCCCTATTCCAAAGTATTCAAAAGTAATTAGATTAAGTTACAAAACTTGTGCAATTTAACGAAATACGTTAGAAATCATGTTTTAAAGTATGCATTTTGTAATCTGTAGTGAAATACATTTTAAAATGAACCTTCTCAGCCCTGTGTATATGCATAGAGTATGTTTCACCACATAATTAAAAAAAAAGACAATCAAAAAAGTCTGAAGAGTTTTTATATTTAGATCATTGTCATGGAAGCGATTTTCCTTTCAGTCGGTCACTACGAGTCACGTCGTGACTGACGAATTGGGATCTCGTTTCGAGAGACCAATCTACTTCAAGTGTAACTAAATGAGCCAATGCACATTGGCATGCAATTATTGCATCCAGCTGCCGCTGATCACAGCGTGAGCATAAAAAGGCAGCCGGTGCAATGCATACCAGCTTTTTGCTTCGGAGCCGAGCGACAACATCGCTCTGCTCTATCCAAGTGTCTTCAGTGAGCTACGAGTTCAACGCGCTCTTGGAAGCTTCTGGTGTTGGCAGAAGGTGCTTCAGCGGTGGTCGTTCCTGTGTCGAGTGGGTTGCGCACTTCAGGCTGCACTACCACCTGTTGTGCTGCAAGCGGCCATTTCCCCTGTGCGCCTCAGCACTAAAAGAGCACTTCCCTGAAAGAGCAATTTCTCTAAAAGAGTACAATAAGCAGGTGCGTCTTTGTAAAGATGACGGATCGTCTTTTTAAAGATGCCGTTTCACCCATGCGTTTCTGCCGTCCAGGACGGTGGCAAGGCCTGAATCGGATCCAGAGATGTCGGCTATGCTTTCCCGGGCCCTCGAGGTTGGACGATTGGTTTCTCGGGGTGGCTCGCGTTGGTTCTCAGTGCCCCGCCTCAGTGCCTTTCTTCCCGGAGGTGCATGAGGAGCTCACCAGTTCATGGACGGAAACTTTAACTGCCGGAAACCGACCTGCTGGTTCCTCCTCCCTCACAACCCTCGACGGTGGTGCAGCAAGGGGGTATACAAGGGTCCCCCCAGTGGGGCGGTCGGTTGCGATGCAATTGTGTCCTAATACCACCTCCACCCGGTAGGGCGAACCGTGCCTCCCCTCCTGGGTCTGTAGGTACTCGATGCTTATACGGCCTGTGGAGAAGCTGGCTCCACCTTACACGCTACAGCGTTATTGCAGGATCATCAGGCCAAGGCACTGAGGGACCTGCACGAGGGTGGTCATGATCCGGAAGTTCTGAAAGAGCTCCGAACCGCTACTGACCTCGCGCGCCGAGCGACGAAGGTCACCGCGAGTTCTCTGGGTCATGCGATGTCCACACTTGTGGTCCAGGAGCGCCATCTCTGGCTGTGTCTGGTTGATATGAGGGACGCCACAAAGTTCGGTTCCTTAATGCACCTGTGTCCCAGACCGGCCTCTTCGGCGATGCGGTCGAGAGCTTGGCCTAGCAGCTCTCGGCTGCACAGAAGCAGATTGAGGTGGGTCGTCACACCCTGCCCCGGCGGGCAGCTGCTGCCTCCACCTGTCCACCGGCCGCAGTGCCCCAGCCTGCTCGTCGCCAAGGGCGGCCCCCTGCGTCCGCCCCTGCTCCCGCGCTGCATCCGCAGCAGCCTCCAGCAAGCGGTGCCGTGGAGCTGGGCGTAGGCAGGCCGCCCCACCCATCCAGGCCCCCGTTAAACCTGCCGGTGAGCGAAAGAGCAAGAGGCTATAGGACGGGTGACCCAGAGAGGGAGGAAGCTGCTCTTTGGGGGATGGTGAAGGCACCTCTCCCTCTCCCGGAGGAAGGCCGGGTGGAGAATCTGGAAAATCTTGACGAGAGGGCGATTTTCTCTATCTCTGGGTCCCAAGAGGGCACGGAGTCGCGGATGGCCCAACACTGGACCTCACTCATCCTCCTCCTTCGCCCAGCCGGCAGCAGCGGGCAGTTCGAGAGCGTCAACAAAGGCCCTACTCACGCACCCTCTGCCAACCTGTGGAACCAGGTAAGCGTTGCACCGCACACTCAGACCCCTCTCCGGTCTGCTCACAAGCCGCCCGAGTTGGGTCCCTGCGTTCCACTTCGCCGCCCCACTGCGGGTACGGCGGTGGTTCCGTTGGTCCTGCTTGCACGGTATGTGGGTGCCTGGCTAGCGCTACCCAGCCCGTCTCGCTGGCTTCTGCGGACCATCAACCTTGGCTATGTGATTCAGTTCGCCCCGCGTCCCCCCAAGTTCAGCGGCATCCACTTCACAACAGTGAAGGTGGCCGATGCTCGTCTTGCGTGCGGAGATCGCAGTCCTACTGGCGAAGGATGCAATAGAGCTGGTCCCTCCAGCCGATATGAGGACGGGGTTTTACAGCCCTTACTTCACTGTACCCAAGAAAGGCGGTGGGTTAAGACCAATCTTGGACCTGCGTGTCTTGAACCGGGTCCTTCACTGGTTACCGTTCAAGATGTTGATGCAGAAACGCATCTTCGGGTGTGTCCGTCCCCGAGATTGGTTTGCAGCGATCGACCTGAAGGATGCGTACTTTCATGTGTCGATCCTTCCGCGCCACAGACCATTTCTGTGGTTTGCGTTCGAAGGACGGGAATACCAGTACAAGGTCCTGCCCTTCGGGCTGTTCCTGTCTCCCCGTGTCTTCACGAAAGTCGCGGAGGGGGCTCTTGTTCCCCTCAGAGAGCAGGATGTTCGCATTCCTCAACTATCTCGATGATTGGCTTATACTAGCACAGTCTCGAGATCAGTTGTGCGAGCTCCGGCGCCTCAGCGTGTTGGGTCTTCAGGTCAACTGGGAAAAGAGCAAACTCTCCCCGATGCAGAGGATCTCTTTTCTCGGTATGGAGTTGGATTCGGTCGAACAGACAGCACGCCTCATCCGGAATGTGCGCGGTTCGTTCGAGGGCAGAACAGCGGTCCCATTGAAACTATTTCAGAAGCTCCTGGGGCATATGGCAGCTGCAGCAGCACTTACACCGCTAGGGCTATTGCATATGAGACCGCTTCAGCACTGGCTTCATGGCCGAGTACTGAGGTGGGCGTGGCAGCGTGGCACTCACCGGGTCCAAGTTACACCGGCCTGTCGCCAAACCTTCACCCTGTGGCCAGATCTTACATTCCTTCGGGCAGGAGTGCCCCTAGAACAGGTCTCCAGGCATGCTGTGGTTTCCATGGATGCCTTCACCACCGGCTGGGGGGCCATGTACACCGGACATGCAGTGTCGGGGGTATGGACGGGCCCCCATCTGCACTGGCATATCAATTGCCTAGAGTTGTTAGCAGTGCACCTTGCCTTGAACCATCTCAGCACGTTCTGGTCCGAACGGACAACACAGCGACCATTGCGTACATCAACCGACAAGGTGGTCTGCGCTCCTGTCGCATCTTGCCCGCTACCTCCTCCTTTGGAGTCGGAAAGATTCTGAGGTCATTTCGTGCCATTCACATTCCGGGCCTGCTCAACCACACAGCCGACGAGCTGTCTCGAGCTATGCTCCCGGGAGAGTGGCGACTCCATCCGCGGATGGTTCAGCTGATTTGGGGACGTTTCGGAGCCACTCAGGTAGACCCGTTTGCCTCTCCAAAAACCTCTCACTGCCAGTTGTTCAACTCCCTGGCAGAGGGAACTCTCAGCACGGACACAATGACACACAGCTGGCTGCAGGGCCTGCGCAAGTATGCATTTCCCCCAGTGAGCCTTCTCGCACAGACACTGTGCAAGGTCAGGGAGGATGAGGGGCAGGTCCTGCTTGTGGTGCCGTATTGGCCCACTCAGACCTGGTTCCCCGAACTAACACTCCTTGCGACAGCCCCTTCCTGGCAGATTCCTCTGAGGAAGGATCTACTGACTCAAAGACGGGGCACCCTGTGGCACCTGCATCCAAACCTCTGGAAACTTCATGTCTGGTCCCTGGATGGGACGCGGAGGTTCTAGGTGACCTACCCCAAGAGGTAGTTGACACCATCACTTCGGCGAAAGCACCATCTCCTAGACACGCTTAAGCCTTGAAGTGGAACCTGTTGGCCGAGTGGTGTTCTTCTCACCGAGAAGACCCTCGGAGATGCCCGATCAGGTTTGTGCTTTCCTTTTCACAGCAAGGGCTGGAGCGAAGGCTGTCTCCCTCCACCCTTAAAGTTTTAGTTGCTGCGATTGCTGCTAACCATGACCCCGTGGAAGAGAAGTCGGTAGGTAAGCACTACCTGGTCATCAGTTTCCTTAGGGGGACGAGAAGGTTAAATCCTCCCTGGCCCCCCTCCATACCCTCTTGGGACCTGTCTTTAGTGTTTAAAACACTACATTCATTGTTTCTTTCATTGAAAACTCTGCTCCTGCTTGTACTGGCCTCCATCAAGAAGGTAGGGGACCTGCATGCATTTTCGGTCGGCGATTCGTGCCTAGAGTTTGGGCCGGCTGACTCCCAGGTAATCCTGAGGCCCCGGCCTGGCTATGTGCCCAAGGTTCCCACTACTCCCTTCAGGAATCAGGTGGTGAGCCTGCAAGCGCTGCCCCCCGGAGGAGGCAGACCCAGCCCTAGCTTTGCTCTGTCCCACCCGAGCCTTGAGATGCTACTAGATACTAAGCTTTAGGACCTCAGACCAGCTCTTTGTCTGTTACAGAGGCCAGCAGAAGGGGAAGGCCGTCTCTAAGCTGGATGGATGGATGGCCCACTGGATTGTGGATGCCATCACCCTGGCTGATCAGGCACAGGGTGCGCCCTGCCCGCTCAGGTTGTGAGCTCACTCTACTAGGAGTGTTGCATCCTCCTGGGCGCTGGCTCGTGGCGCCTCGCTGACAGATATTTGTAGGGCTGCGGGCTGGGCGACCCCTAACACATTCGCTAGATTCTATAGCCTTCGTGTGGAGCTGGTATTCTCCTGTGTTATCACCTCAAATGGGTAGAGGCACTGAGAGGCCCCGGTTAGTGACGGTTTGCTAAAACCTCTCCAGAATGTCCGTACTGTAGGCCCTGTCGAGCTCCTCCGTCCCCTCGGCAGCCAGACGTGGCGGAACGTCCGGCGCCAGGCCCTCACTCGCTGAATCCGTGAGAACCGGTAGAGGGCTGGGTTCCATATGTAGAGGCCTAAGTGGTTCCCATATGTGTAAAGTCCACGGTATAGCCTCAGAGCCCGCGTTTCCCCAGCAGACTTCTGCCATTTCCAAGAGGGTTACAATCACCTCCAATTTTCCATATGCACCGAAACAGATGTTCATATGTGTATTTACTTCCGAAACCTCCTTCGGGAAGGATGGGGCTTCCGCAGCGTCCCTGTTCCAAGTGGAACAGGTACGTTTTCCCAGTGTTATCCAATCTCACTGAGTGGGTAGGGCTACGACAACGGTGAATGGTCTTCTTGTTGCCAACCCCGGCCTACACCAAAAAGGGGCGCAGGTGGCTCGCACAGGGCAATGGAAGGGGCAGCATCCATGGCGCTTTGGTAGGGAATCCCAATTCGTCGGTCATGACGTGATTCGTAGTGACCGACTGAAAGGTAATGTCTTGGTTACGTATGTAACCCTCGTTCCCTGAAAGAGGGAACGGAGACGTCACGTCGCCACGGTTGCTGTACCACTGCTGAGCGGCCGGGTCACCGGCTCGGCTCCTCAGCGAAAATCTGGTATGCATTGCACCAGCTGCCTTTTTATGCTCACGCTGTGCTCAGTGGGAGCTGGATGCAATAATTGCATGCCAATGTGCATTGGCTCGTTTAGTTACACTCGAAGTAGATTGGTCTCTCGAAGCGGAACCCTTCAGGGAACAAGGGTTACATACGTAACCGAGACGTTACACTAGAAGTATGACACAGTGTATAAGTAGAATACTCTGTGTGTATACTTTAAGTGTGAAGATCTCACCTCCTTCATAATCTTGATAGCCTCCACTCTGTGCTGCGGCGGTGGGTAGAGCAGAATACGGTGGTACAGGGACTGCAAAACGGGCTTCATGGACTCGACACAGCCCACTAGACGGACTAAATCTGCTGCCACATAGCAGATGGTGCGAACGACTGGCCCAATCATGACAGGAGCACTCGATGAGCAGCCAGAACCCCGGCCCTGATCCAAGACTGCTGTTCCTGATGCCAAGTCTGAGTCCTGGGATTGCCCACCATGGGCTGAGGTGATGGTTTTATCACTTGCTGGGTTTCCCATAATCACCACCAGAGTCGGACATAACTGCTTCCTGTGTGTAGACAGGAAGCAGTTCATAATAATACCTGTGCTTAAGTTGAGCTCCTTTTAACTATATAAAGTGCTGACACCCTTAATTTAAACAATGTGCAAAGAGAACAAAGGCATGTCTCACCAGATGAGGTCTGTGAAATTACGATGCAGGTGCATTGTGGGAGGAGAGCTGCTCAGCATAGACAGAATACACTCCAGGTACAACAGCTGCAGCAGCTGGTTTTCACTAAAGAAAACACACATTTCTCTCATCACACTAATAAAACACTAAATATGGATGGTTGAGCCCAAGTCTTTCTGCTCCCTAGATATTACGTAAACCGTAACGTAAACTTTATATAACACAAAAACAGATTAGAAAAGTGTTATCACACCTCTCCTCAACAATACACATGATTTGGGTATCATTCATACACATTCATATTCATACACATTCATATTCATAAACACAAACAGAAGTTTAACACTTAGGGGTGTCCAGTCCAGCCACTTTCCCTAAGTTTAGCTTCAACCTGCTGCAGAACACCTCCCTTGAAGTTTCTAGTGATCTTGAAGACCAGGTTCAGCTGTGTTTAACTGCAAGACAGTGGCAGGACTGGACACCCCTGATTTAGGGTTACGATTGTGCTATTTCACTATAAGTAGGAGCTACAGTAAAAGTGGTGCTCATCTGAGCAAACACTACTAATAATAGTAATCACTTATACTAGTCTAATAATAACGACCTAACAACAAGTTGATGACATGTAACGCTTACTCTGAGACAGACTCCAGTTTGTCACAGAAAACAGTGAGCACCATAACAACATCTTCATGCAGTGCATCAGTAGTGGGAGACAGATCTGAAAACACATGAAGATAGAACTTATAATAAATGCCACATAATATCTGTAAGCAAGGTATTAAATGATACAACTGGTCGATTCAGTGTACCTTTGCGCTGGTGCACAGGTATGCAACGTTCCTCACCATCAACACCCTGTAAAAATCCAACCAGAAATTGTTTATTATATATTAGTTATTATATATTTGACTATAGAATGCCACGTTTGACCAATCACATTAGCATATTTCAGAGAGCTCTGTAATAAGACATTATAGACATGTGGTTGTTTTTAATAAAGCTTTGTGAAACAGTTGTGAAACGTGACTCACTTTGTTTTCTTGTCTATGGCGTAGCTGTAGGGTGAGGTCTCCAAGAATCTGACTGAGGGTGGCCCTGACCGCTGTGTTGATACTGCGTTGATGACAACTTGATATGTATGTTTCAATACACACCTGGAAACACACAGAGATGCAACAGAATTTTAGAGCAAACGCTGAAATCCTCCACAACAAACTGCATTTGTTTTGCTGTAATAATGAAAGTTTACCATTCTAGGTCATTGTAGATATTTTGCACATCAAATGTGTGTCAAATGGGACAACTTGAAACATACAACATTAGTATTTTATAATCACTTTTTTGAACTGGTAGTATGTAAACTGGTTTGATGGTGAAGTGTGCAGTTTGCAATGTTACTTTATCTTTTCCCAGTTTAACATGCGATAATCTCTGCCTTAAAGTCCTGTCAGAGCAATCATATTTTACGAGATGAAGGTGCATGAAAGCTTGAGTGGATTGATATGTCTTGATATAACTTTTGATTATAATTGATATAACTTCTGACACAACCAAAGTTATTTTTGCAATTCTGTTTGGAGCTTACTCATACCACAGAAATTACACACCTCAGTGACAAAAATAAAACGCATTTCATAAGTCTGGCTCACACAAAGAAGAACAAAGAAGAAACTTTTATTTAAAAAATCTATATCTTATTTGAACTGTGTCATGAAAGATAAAAGAAACTAAACATTTTTATAACTGTCTTTTTGGGTTCCATGCACAGAATTTAAGAGGTTGACCATGCTGTGTAAAATGCATTATAAAAAATGAAGTGATTTATAACCAAAAAAAGGCCAACTTTAGACCAATTGGGCATCCATGGAATGACTTTTTGCATTGCCTGGATATGGAATGCTAATAGAAATTGACCTAAACAGACTCACAGCTGAAACTGCTGGCAAAGATCAGTCCTAAAAACAAGGGCACAGTAATCTTAAATTTAAGTGTTAAATGTACACAACAGTAGGGTTCACTGTATCTATAGAGAAACCTTCAGCATTTTGAAAAACTCAGTGAAAAACTGCACTACCCATAATGCTGAAGAATGATCTGCCAATCAAAGAACTCACTGTCACCATAGAAACCGAGAGCTCACGGACACAAGCGCACTGAAATAGTTGGCCATCACTCTTGTGCTCAGTAAATAACGATTCTATACCTCTTAACATTTAAATGTAATAAAAAAAAGAAAGAAAGGCAACTGAAGTTCTTTGATGAAAACATAAAACATTTTTGTTTGAATGTCATAGATTTGATTGATTGCTAGAATTTGTTTTTTTTTAAATCCTGCTTTAGCATAAGTTTAGGTCAATACGTCTCTGTTAGGCCTGTCACTAATCAACAAAATGACTCTGAAATGGAATCTTCCATCAAGCAAACAGAATGACTGACTAGAGAGCATCTGCCGCTCTGCCATGCTTGGTCATGGAAAAGGGATCTTAGACGTGGCATCTATGACCACTCTTACCTGTAACCATAGCAACGAATGACACACTGTTGGTGGCTAGGAAAATGAGTTTCATGATGGAAGTGAGATGTCGGAGAGAGTGGTTCACTATGTGCTATTGTGCCATTCTAGGTACTTACACACCTAACAAAGACATTTTGCCAAAATTCCCTTGTACAAAATCAAAAGAGTCTTGTGAAATGTAACTCTTGTGAATTGAAAACCTGCTTTGATATTCTGTAAATATGAGGCTAAATACTTAAAGGGGTCATATGATGCTTTTTTAAAGATAATTATTTTGTGTATTTGGTGTAACAGAATATGTTGACATGCTTTAATGTTCAAAAAACACATTATTTTTCAAATACTGTACATTATTGTAGGTCCTCTATGCCCCGCCTCTCTCAAACGCTTAGTTTTCTACAAAGTCCCTCCTTCCGACAAGCACAGTCTGCTCTGATTGGCCAACTGACCCAGTGCATTGTGATTGGCCGAACACCACAAGCACTCGTCGGAAATGTAATGCCCCTTACCATAATCGCGAGCTTCATCTTTCTAAATAAATGTAAAGACAGAGCCTGAAAGGGGAACAGAGTCGCGTGACAGACAGTGATGAAGCTGGTATGTGTTTGCAGTACACAAGCCACGGTTAAGACAGCTGCCTCCACTATGATGTGACTCCCCCCTCTCTCTCTCTCTCGCGCTCTCTCTCTCTCTCTCTGTCACACACACGCGCTTGCGCAAAACTCCGCATTTGAACAGTCGATAGCAAATACTTAAACTAATAACAAAACAGTAGCTGATTCAGAAGCACCAGATTGTCATTGCAAAGTCAGAATTACCTCCTCTCCTAGGTTCACGAAACGGTCGTCCATAAAATGCATTGCTGTTCTGTTGTAAGTCATCTTAAAGATTCCTAAATGCATCTACTTTCGGAAGGCCAAATAAAATGCTTTTGCTTTTGCCTAGAAACACACAGCGTCTCCCTGAAATGGCTGCTTCAACACTAACTGCGGTTACTGAAACCACACCTTCTTTCTTTGCGTGCACATTTGGGCGGCATTATGCTAATATTTCCACATAGTGAGGTAGATATGTGGGGGCGTGTTAGAACGAGCCGTTTTAGGGGGGCGTGGCAGAGTCTTAACTTTGATAAAGAATATCTCTTTGGTTTTGAGACTTTAGTCTTTGCAACTTCAGGGATCTTATCTATGCACAATCAGCTTGTAACACTCCAAAGAGAAAGGAAAACTTGAAATCGCATCATATGACCCCTTAAAGAATAGATGCACTTCGACAAGGACTTTAATGAGAGGGTTGCCAGATTCACTTTGGATAAGCAGTTTTCCATCAGTCATCTCATTCTGTCAGTTAAACGTCAATAAAGCATGTCTTACCTCAGCAATCCTCAAGATGTTGTGCCCGTTGATCTCAAAGGTAGAGGAGTAGGTGACGCAAAGCAGGACCTACAACACAAAGAACTACAAAACATTAGCCATTTGATATAACAGCACCGCAACTTAAAATGATTGAACACTTCTGTATTAGAAACAGGAGATCAGGAACACATTGTGTCTAGGGACGCATATGTGCCAGTAATGCTGCAAATCCATCTTATTACACCACGGGTGCAGACCCTGAATTGATTAGGCCTGCTGAGATGCAGCACGTTGTTTTTGACACTGACTATTCCAGCTCAATGCTGGCCAAACATTTTCTCAGACATTTGTGATCTCACACACTGATGATGAAGGTTCAGACGAGCACGGACCTTCATGACCTCCACCTGCAGGTCTTCATGTAGGGTGGGCGTCACCCTGATGGCCTCCAGGATCTGACTCAACAGCTGCTTCTCTGGAGCCTCGGTTTCCACAGCAACAAAGCAATCCTCACAAAGGATCTTCTGTCAATGCCACAGGACAAAACACATGCAAATTGCTGAGAAGAGTATGAACTAACATTACAAAAAAAATTTTTTTTTGAATATTGGTCACCTTGCCATGTTTGTAAGCTGAATTATAAATTATTAAATTTATTTTTACAATCTCTGAAAAAATGTGAGTAGTTTATCATTTAAATTGTAAAAGACTGTAAAAATACTATGAATGAGGTAAAAACCTGTTAAGTGGTTAACAGTTAACCTGTTAAGTTTCCTAATACAGTGAAAACTGTAATAGATATAACAGGACATTCTATGTAATTCTACAGTAAAATACTGTTAAATTTACAGTTTTTGGAAGTAAAAAAGAACAAGTCATCTTATAATCTGCACTGTTTATATACAAAAATACACCTTTCTACGTGTACTAATGATATTTGTCATTTGCACTTATATATTGTTGCTCTTTTGTTAGTTTTGACTGCTTTTATTGTCCTCATTTGTAAGTCGCTTTTGATAAAAGTGTCTGCTAAATGACTAAATTTAATGTAATGTAAAAATGTATAATTTACAGTGAAAAACCTAAATTGACATTCCCAGAATTCTCTGTGACAGCTCACATTTTTCATTGTTTCACACTATTTTATTGAGTTTTTTATTGTTTCTCAGTTATGTACATTAGAGTTTCATGTTGCACTCTGTTGTTAAATTATTGTTTATTGCATTATTTTAGTGTCATGTGTGTTACCATAATGGTATTTTTGTATGACACATGCACCTTATATATATATATATATATATATATATATATATATATATATATATATATATATATATATATATATATATATATATATATCT